TACGGGAGGTTCAAAATCTCTCACAAAATTTGGAACAAGTCAAGGGGCCCGCAATCTCAACAATTACCATGCTGAGCCGTCCAGTAATAAGCTCGCCAAATAACGATCAATGTTTGGTGAACTAACTGTGAACAGAAGCAGACCAAGCCTGATGACTTCGGCTAGGGATATGGCAGTCAAAAGCACCGATGTAACGCTACTACGTCATCTACTCATCATCCCACCACTGAATTTAACATTTGATTCCAAAGTACGGCATAGTGAATGTGCAGGATAACATTCGGTCAGTAAGGCTCTGGAACTCTGGAAGTGTGACATCAATTGAGCATCTAAAGTCTATACAGGAGCTTATCTAAAAATCGTTGAAATACTGGTACATACCAACGCAATTCTGAACTGAAACTTGGATCCAGTTAGATCACTTAGAGCGGCAGAAACATTGATGAAGCTTTCACGGTTTAAACCAGCAAATGTTACACACAATTGGGGAGTAGTTAATACCGGGCAAATAGATCAAGCAACAATATAGGAGATTAGTCCTGCTATAGAAGAGCGACAACAGAATTAACTGCGGCTTCGAAATATTATTCAGCAGTAAACTTTGAACTGAAGATCCATATATGTAGTCGTAATAAGAAGGACCACTTTTACAATTATCATTTTCAAATCTATTATCACACACATTTGAAACTTTTCATATGTGAAACGTACTTACATTGCCAGTGTGGTCACTTCTGTGCAGCTTCTTCACAAATATTTCAAATTCAAATAGGCATTTGTTATCGTCATCTTATGGCGATGAAACTTACAAAATCCGTTATATAGACGAAAAGGTAACGAAATTGAGTGGGCATGCATGTTCGGTATCATAAAAAAAGCTTCTCTTATTCCTGAAAAAGCTTAGTTAGTTTCAGTAGGTTTTTGTAGGGCATGCCAACATTTTTCCTAAATGTCTTAAATTCCACTCAAATAAATACATTTGAGTTTATAAGTACGTATATAAGTAAGCATTTGAAAATTGCCACTGCTGAGCATCAAATTTCATCAAAGGCGAACAACTTTAATAAAATTAAGTTTATATGAAATAACATAACATTTATTTTAATTTGGGTTTATTTTTGGGCTCTAGAATTTCTCCTTTTTTTATTATGAAATTGGTTTCGGTGGCAACATAAATGTTTCAAGTACATTATTTTTTATTTTTAAACAAAATTTCTATTAATTGTTGGTGTTCTTGCCCTCTAAAGTATGGCTCACACATTGTAATATAGACATTTAAGCACACAAGTTTATTTGAGGATTTTTACATTTGTGAGCAAATAGTACATACATACTTATGTGTGTAAGTACATGTGAGCTGGTTTTTGCGGTTGAAATTGTGGGCGTTGACCACCACCAACCCACAGCAGCATAGTATTTGTAACTATGAACATTTTTTTTTTTGTATACACAAGTATGCAATTATACATAAATATATATGCACTTGTACTTATATGTATTTACATGCAAGTGTTTTTTGTTTTTTTTTGTTTTTGCCTTTTTGGTCTGGCATGTGCTATAGTGTAATAAAAAGTAACAGTACAAACTTTTCTGACATAAACTTTTCTGCTATTACGAGTACAATACACAGTGTGTTTAACATTGCCAACTATTACATTCCACATTTCCGATATGACTGGACAGCGAATAAAAATCAAAAAAAAAACAATAACAACAATACATAATACTTAATAAAAATAGGAATAAAAGCCACAATAAGCATACAACAGCAATAGTGGTAACTACAATTTTCTACCCACATTACAAGCACTCCGCCACGTTTGTGTGTGTATATGTATGTATCTGAGGCTGGAATAATGTGAACTTGCATAACACTTAAGTAAATATACATATATAGTATATGGAATATGACTGCATATTCACTCCACACATGTATTTATGTAGAAATTTTTACACAACTATGCATATACATATGTATGTATGTATGCGCTAAATTTACACATTAATACATGCTTGCCAGCCAGCATCTGCAACATTTTCCCACATATCCACCATTTAGCCTATAAATTATGCTGCAAATTTTATTGGCATGAAAAGTTGGTAGCAAGGATAAGGATAAGGCTACATGCCAAGTACAACAATATAAACTTACATACATACCATCATGCGCCTTTGGTATGTCTGTGTAAAAGTTTTCCGAACTAAATTTACCATCTCGTAACATTGAAAGCTATGCTGTATTGTCTTTGCAACAAAACAATGGCTGTCTGTGATTCTTAGATGCCTTCACATGCTCGTAGGCATAGAGAAAACTACATATTGCATACATATCGGCATACATATGTATTTATGTATGTAAATAGCTATACATATATAAACGCACTTGCTGCATATTTTAGCAAACAGCAAATATAGATATTTGCGTAGGCCGTCAGTTGAGTTGTTGCTTTCAGTTGCTGCTTCAAGTTGGCATGGCTTATAAACATCCACATACATACTACATACATATACATATAGTATTATAATAAACGATTATATCTCAGCTAGGCAGCATAATTGCAAAATATTGGTCTTTCTGCTGCAATAACTTGGGTTCTTCAAGAATTGGAACATGTAATTTTAGCAGAAAGTTCTTGGAATGTTTACGTATTCATATTTATAAGTACGCTTGTAAGCTTAAGAATTACAAAAATTCCGGCAGTTACTTATTTATTTCATGAAGTGCTACGTTGCAAGTGTATGCTCATAAAATACTTAAATTTTCTAAGAAAGAAATGAAAACTAATTTCTGATGTGCAAAAATATAAAATTTATATTGATGCCCCAAAAATGAAGAGCCGCAACTGGGGCCATATTTAAATATCACATTTCATGATTTTTAACTCTTAGAGGAAATATTATTTAGCATAGGGAAAATTTGCTAAGTCCAAAGAACCACTGAAAATCCGATTAGCCCCAAAATAATACGAAATCTTTTAATCCAGATTGAATCCTTTTGTTTAGCTTAATAAAAAGTGGTGACTTTTGCATGACCAAGCGAAATTATTTTTACTGTGAAAAATATGGATTCCTAAGATAGCATCAATATTTTTAAAGTCTTAGAACGAAAACCCTTACATATCTCGATTTAAAAACAAAGTGACTTAAGCCACTTTCAAAATTAGACGCAACCAATCCATGTTTTAGAATTTAGAAAATTGTCCATGATGTTGCGTGAATATATTCTGATTAAACGTTTAGTTTAAAAAGCTCAAGAGTTGGATTTCCAATGATACCGCACGCAACGTGAATGCCACCATTAGAAAAGCTATTTAAACGGTCATTTATATATGTACATATATACGGGAAACATAATAATTCTTATAAAGTATAAAAATAGAAAAATTGTATATGTTTTGCCTGGAGCAGATAAAGGTTTAAGGTAGTCTGGATATCTGTTATGCGGTGACGGTTTTTATTTAGTCAGCTTTGATAAACCTTATTTCCTTAGGTAATGCCTATATTTAGGGTGTTTTTTTTTATATGACTTAATATAAGTGTTCTTAATCAAACCTCATTAAGAGATTAGAGCATTCCATTTGTAGAATTGGCTGCTGCTCGTACACTGTGCACCGTGCGGTGAAAGGTGATTGATACAAAAAATCTCTAAGAGTTGTTGGATCCCCAAATAAGCTGCTGCAAATAGGAGTAATCTTTATCCGAATTAACTGAGATTTACGTGAAGTAATTTTGTCTATTTAGCAATGAAGTTGTAAATAAAATAGCTAAGAAATAAGGATGGGCGAACTTACACGCCTACTGCATTTTGAGCAGATATGTTTGATGATATTTGATTTCTATCAAGTTTGATTTGGTATGTGTCGCTTTTTCTATGGTAAGTGGGCTTGGGCAATAGTCCCCTTTTGACTATCTTACAGATAACATTTTTTCTTGCTATTACTAACGAATTTTATTAAAATCACCTTTCTCCTTTTTAGCTAGTAGTGTAGTGGGCTTGGAAGTTGAATCAGTATGTATATAGACTACTTCTGCAAAATTGAATAACGATTAATAACACCGGCAAACAAAAAAGATAAGTGGTTTTTGCTTTTAACCAGACCCAGCTACCAACTGGTAAAAAATCGAAGCTATCGACAGTATCTATGCTTTTAAGTTCGCGCTATCATTAATGTTGTCTGCTTGAGCGCCCTATTCTCGTCGCATTCAAAAATACAAAAGTATTCTATGTATAACAGTGAGATATCTATCCAAGGGACTGATTAAACTACCCTCATAAAATATACTATTGCACTCGATAATTTTTCTTTAATTTGAAGAAATATACATGTAATAGAAAATGTTGTCAAATTGAGAGCAAATATGTCGAAGTAAGCTTGCATATAGTATGCAAAATTTCGAATTGGTGTATACCCTATCCTACACACACCACTGCGTATACGTAACAATTTCCATTTATTTTGTAAATAAGTAAATACAAAGCAAGCAAATTAAGTTCAACAGATTTGCATTATTTTGGGCTGTAAGCAATAAAAATCTATAGAAATTATTGCAGGCGTTTTGTGATGGCGCAATAAAAGCACTCTCTCTACTCTTTGTAAATATGTATGTTTGGCTGCCGAGCACGCTTTTGTGGCGGACGTTGATGATTTAATGTTTACTCAACAATAAAGCTTCATTTACATTTAAACATAAATTTAAGCGACGCGCAAGCAAATTTATATGCGCCACTGTAACTGGCTTGACAAATTACTATCAATCATAAATATTATGCCGCAGTATTTGATATAAACAAATTGAGTGAACGCTGTCAGTGGGTTAACTGCTTGTGAAAATTTATTTAGGGTCATTTAAAGGAGGAAAAAACACTTACATAAAAACTCACATAAATACATAAATGAGTAAATATATACATATATTTTTTATGTACTAAGTATACATATGATATGTAAGCTGAATTTGTTAGCATTTTGTAATTTCCGCATTTCCACACTCGTACTTACCGTCATGCGAATCGTAGAGATAAATTATTTTACGCCATCCATAAAATTGTATTGTATCGATGATCGCCTGATGATAATCCGGACGCATACTTATGGCATAGTCGAGGAAACCGGACGAGGGCGTCAGCACCTAACGAGCGCAGACGAAATGAAAGTCGCAGGGCAAAAGTGAAAAGTACAAATGGAATGAAATGAAATGAAACAAAAGCAGATTGTGGTATAAAATGAAATCGTGTGACAGTGGCGAGTGTGCGAATGTGCAAAAAGCGATGGCGCATAAAAGCTGTGTGACAGCACGGCGAGGAGCGAAATATTTATGTAGGTGTGTGTGGCTTTCATAAACACACTCGCACACACACACACACGCACAGATAAGGAAAAGGCGCTGATTGTGTACGTTTTTTATTACTTTATCTGGCTTTGTGTATATTTATTTATTTATGTATGTAATGTTATGTTATGTTTTTGTTGCAAGTACTTCACTGTTTTTGTTTTCTTTTTTTCTTTGCGAAATGATTTATGTAGATCGAAATCGCAGTCGCTTTATGGCGCCCGTTGAAAGAAAATATGTTTTGAGTGCGGTGCGAAAGCAGTTAGGACGTAGATAATGTGTTTTTGACCAGAGATCTGGCACAGGGAATCCCAAAAATTCTAGAAATGTTTTGACCATACTAAATTTCGGTGTTCAAAATTTTCCAATTGATTAAAAAGAGTACTAAAAATCTGACACGTAATTAACCCTCGTCCGTGCGACTAGGTACAATTGTAACTTTTGCGTTTTTAAATTACAATAACTTTTTTTCCAGAAAACTTAGAGGGCTGGATCTTCGTGACATCTCTACATTTTTGTTGCGCCACATGTTCCCTGAATTTAAAACAAAATGGGCCACTATTTTCTGAAATAGAGGGCCGAGTTAAATTTACACCCACGCCAAAGCGCATAGGTACAATTGTACCTTCATATAGCTGGTATGAAGAAAAAAGAAGATTATTATTATTTTTTTTAATTAATTATATATAATTTTTTTTATAAAAAAAAGAGACACAAACGGAGCTAATTCATATAAGAAGCGATAATAAACTATATAAAAAAGTAACAATCGAGACAATTCAATTTAGGAACAACGATTTAGAATATACATTTTGAAATTTTTAGAGAGTTTCTTCGCAAGAAATACACGTTGTTTTTGAAACTGAATGTTCATCACAAATTGGATAAGCACAAGATATGCAAAGCATTCGAGTTTTACGTTGTTTCCTATTTGAGTTCCGACAGATATAGCAACGTCCAGTGATAGGGGAGGCTCCGCGGCTACCATGAGGTAATTGAAGGACAGCTGCTGTAGATGCCACAACGCGACGGCCAAGTACCATTTCTATTGCACTTCGAAGGAAATGGCTTCTCATCATCATTCGATTTGCACTTCGAGATTCAACTGAAGGCATGCATAGCTGATTGGAGAGATCTTTTAGAAACTTTCGACGTTGATTTTTTCCCTGAAACCGGGGGTTATGATTTTTGTAGATTATGTAGGATGCTAAACCATAATTGTGATCGCAAGTAGCAGCAAATATAAACTGAACCAAATAAACAGCGTATTATTTTTGTTCCGGTCAGGGCTGCCAACTATCCTTAGCTATTTGGTGCCATATTAAGGATAAAAAAGTGCCAAAATGTGCCAAATAGAAAAATAAAAGTGCCAAAAAAGGTACTATCCTTTATAACGCTTCCCATGTAGCTAAAAAGAACCACATTTCTAAAAGAAAAGTGCAATGCCAAAATAAAATGAACCAGTTGAATAACCTTTAGAAATTAGAAAATTTTAATTGAGAAAAAGAAGTACACGCAAAGTAAAGTGCCAAATTGAAAAATTAAGTGCCATTTGATGTAAAATATTGCCAAAAATGGCACGGTTTGAGCCAAGTTGGCAGCCCTGGTTGCACCAGTATGAAAAATATTGAGTACATACATATGTATGTATGGAGGGTACATATTGTTGTGGTGTACTCGTGCATTTTTCGGAGTGCATTTTATGCAGGCTACTGTGTTTCTATTTTTACTTTTTGTTTTAAACAATTGTCATAACAAAAAATTTGTAAACATGTTCAAAATAACGTGTAATGATTAAATGTTATCAGTTTTTATAAAAAAATTAAACCCCAGTAAAAATTCATATCAAAACTATATGAAGGTACAATTGTACCTTTGCGCCCGGTTAGCGTTGTAAGAATATGCGCCCGGACGAGGGTTAAAAGAAACTCATATTACAGTATTAAACCCGTTTTCATATTATGCCACCAAGCTTTTAAACTGAATATTTTTAGTTACGATCCAAATTTGGCGCGGCGATTCGTAGCAGCTCACTAAAAGATGAAGACACCAATTGAGTTTTTTATTGACAAGGAATTTTCTTTAAAGTTACTTACATATGTATATACGGCGTAAGCGAGAAAGAGCGACATGATCGCGAAAAATCAGGAATTCTCGTCCCGAATCTTTCTCTACTGTATGCGTGTTTCAGTGCACTTAACAACTCTTAAAGGGCCATTGTGGCTAAGATAGTTGAAATTTTTTTGTAAGACAATCCAAAGATATTAGTCAATATTGTGTGAAAGAAATTTCCCTTTCCAACTTTCATGGTGAAAAGCTCTTTTGACAGACAGCACTTGCATATCACTTTGCTCGCGCTGCTCCAGCAGTCGAAATGGCCTAGTGAGCATCGCACTGACGTGTCATTCGAGGTCCAGTACTCGGCCAGTGGTGCTTTTTTTCAATTAAATACTTTTTTTTTCAAGTTAATTTTCTGTTGGTTTTTGGATTTTATTGTTTTTTTAACAGAAAAATAATATACATATATGTAGGTATAATTTTTTTTTAGTTTTTGAAAACTTGATAAAACTTTTCATTTGAATTTTTTTTAATTTAATGTTTAGATTTAATTTTTTTAAATAGAGAAAACTTTTTTGAATTTCATTTAATTATTAGAATTATTTTTTTTTCTCTTTGCAGTATATATTTTTTATAATTATCAGGTTTTGTTGTTTCAAAAATATTTTTTTTCTCATTTAATCATTTAATTTTTAGGAACTGATTTTATTTTATTATTTTTGAAAATTAATTTTTTTCTTTATTTAATTAATTTTTTAGATTAGATATTTTCCATTAAAAAAATATATTTTTAAATTTAATTTAGTTTATTTTTCTTTTTTAATTTCATTTCCATTTAGTTTTTGGGTTTTATTGTTTTAAAAAGAAATATTTTTTTAATAATCGTGTAATTTTTAGAAGCTCATTTTATTAAATGTTTCTTTTTTGATAATTTTTTTTTTTTTAAGTTACTTTTTTTTAATTTTCAATTCCTTTCTTATGTAAATAAAAAAAGTACATTTTTAAGTTTAATTTAATTTTATGAACTTATTTAAATTTTTTTGTTGTTTTTAATTTATTTTTATTTTTAAAGTCGTATTTTCTTTTATTTTTAGATTTTTTTTTTAATTTTTTAAGTAATTAAATTTGTAGAATCCTATTCCATAAATTTTTTCTTTTTTTTTAGCTTTTATTTTCAATAGTTGTGATCTCTGCGGAATGTTAAGCACTCAAGTGGCACACTGGTGTATAACTTGGTGGAAATTCTTTCTTTCTAACTTCGTTAAATTTTATGCTCTTTAAACACATCACATTACTGCCTCGTTAGTTCGTTCTTTCGCCCAGCTCAAAATACCAAATGTAGGAGGCTGAGTGGCAGTTTGTTAAAATAAAATCCGAAATGATTATGATTTGTGCATAGCGTACACTTTTGGACATTTATAACTTTATTAAGTATTTCATAAATTGTCGGAAACAGCTTATTGTTTGCGACTGACTATTTTTTGTCTGTTTTTTTTTGTTATTGTATGTGTGTTTTTTTTTTTTGGTGCCTGCGTTTGGACGGCACAGCCATTGTCTGCTATTAATTTTCAAGGCAAACTGTCAGCCACTTCAACAAACAAATGGGGCTATATTTTGTGTGTGTTAGTTAAATGAAATATGTTTTATTACCATCGAGGCGTATGATTAACATTTAATAAAAATGATATTAAATGAAATATCTGTGTGGTTGTACATAACATAAAGAAGTGCAATAAAGCAGCGTACGGTACAAGTAATTTAAGCTCTAAAGAAGAAATATAAGAAGATAAAGACGCAAATTTGAGAGATATTTTGATTTTTATGCTACTCCAGCGATTTTGTTTGCGAAAAAGGAAACAATTTTATTACCGAAAATTTCAGTAGACATCTGCTTGCGCAAACAAGCGGTAGAGGAAGTTAAGATAATTAGATAATTTGATACATTCAAGTTTTTATGGTTAAGTATTTATTTGATCTCTCTTTATTTCTTATATTTGATGTTTTCCCATTTTTATTCGGAGCTCTTCGGGATTTTTTCGAAAATTTTCCAATGTTTTGGAAAGATTTTGGCTTTTAACGGAACCTCAAAAATTTTTCTACATTTTTTAGAGCTCGCTGGAGATTTGTAAGGCATTTCGGGGTTTTTTTAAAAACTGGTAGGAATAACATTTGTTTAATAGTGACATTATTGTGGTTTACACTTATGGGTTCTGGCAAATATCTGAAAGCTGCGCAGTCGACGAGCAAGCATAAAAACTAGCCGACGCTCAGTTAATTATGAAAAACTCTGACCCAGGTCAGCATTTATTGACTTGGAAAATGAGAGGCTTCAAGAATAATCAATATTGGGTCACTAAGCAGACCAACTGGTAGTGAGAAAAGTTCTAAGATCTTAATTTTAATTGATCGTGCGCTTACACTGTACGAACTTCTCAGTTTTTTTCGCGAGGAATCGATGAAACCGAGTTTTTTGAAAGCCTGGAAAGAAAAGTAGTTTCTCAGTTTCTAATTGTTTTGAAAGCTGATGAGCCGATCACTACCTTCAACCAAAAGCGCTTAAAATTGCCAATCTGGGAAACTGAAAAATTACTTGTCTTTGTAGACGGCTGTGTGGAAGACCGACTTATTTCGGCAGCCGGTTGAAAAACGCCCTATTTAAGAATTATTTTCAAGAATGCGCTATTTCAGAACTCGGTTTAAAAATGCCCTATATCAACATCGCTTCAATATATTTTCAGTTAAGATAGGGTATTTTTGAACCAAATTCTGAGATAAGGCGTTTTTCAATCAAATTCTCAGATAGAGAGTTCTTAAACCAAATTCTGGAGTAAGGAGTTCTGGAGCCATTTTCTAAGATAAGGCGTTTTCGAACCGGTTGCCGAGATAGATCTATCTTCCACTCAGCAGTCCATATGCAATCCAGACTTTCAGAAAACCTGGGTTTCATGAGTTTCTCAGTGTTATATGTGCAGTTGATGTTATTAATTTGGGTGGTAATATATGGTAAGCGAATGAGCTACCTGGCCAACATTTTATGTCAAAGAAGCAGGCATGTATTTAGTTTTAAAGTATATTTATAAGAGTATTTTTCTGATCACGACCCTGAAGGAACGGAGAAAGATTTCGCTAAAGAAGCATCGCAATCTAACTGACCAAAATAAGCTAGTCAAACCTACCTTCAGCAGTGACCAGATCTGACTTAGAGAATTTAGATAAGGACGACTCATTTGTACACGTCATCCGCGATAATTTTTTGTCATCAAAAAAAATTTGTTTTGATAACTTTTCGGCTACCTGGGCCGGTATTAAGTTGAGACAGATATAAACACTAAATATACATACATCTGCACACTTAACCTACTTCAGCGGCGACAATATGCTGCATTAAATTCACAAAAAAGGAAACAACTAATACATATATTTATGTATAAAAAAAAAAAACTAAATACAAAACAAGTTATAAAAAGTGAAAAAGTAAAAGCAAAAAAAAACTCATGGCAGCAAGTCAAGTGCGTTGGAAAAATGGCACAACACCAGTGCACCGCGTGACTATCGATATTTGCATAAAAATTCCATGTTTATTATTTATCTGCAAGTAAGCCTGTGTGCGTGCGATTTTATGTGAAAGTGTTGAAAAAGTTAGAAGTTTCACTCACTGCTGTCACACTTTTTGCCATCTCACATTCTTCGTTCTTTTTCATACATATATGTGTGTAATTTTTCTATGTTATGTACAGAAATTCCGGCTTACCATGGAAACCATGGTGTCACGAATGGCATATGAAATGTATTGCTGTACGAGTGCAATGTATCAAATGAATCCGGTGATACGGCACCCAGCATAGAATAAACGCCACGCGAAAATTGATTGCATATTGTAAGGCGCATACACAGCCACGTATGGATGTATGCGTGTTGTTATAGCATTTTTGAAATGAACGAATGTTGGTTTTTGTTTTTTTTTTTGTTCACCAATGCAGCGGTAAATATGTAGATAGAAGAAAAATGCAAGTAATTAAAATTTATAAATGCATTGTAAATGTTTGTGTAAATGTTTGTGTTTGTGTGCAAGTAAATATGTGTGGCAATTGGTTGAGCATACTGACAATGACTGCGAATGAAAATGTATTCTGTGTTCTGTTTAAATCAGAAAAAGTGCATAATTAATGAAACGCTGCAGTGGCGGCGGCAACAGCAGCAGTCGGAGCAGCAGCAGCAGTGAGCCGGGGGCAATCAAGCAGCAAATGACAAGCATCGCCTCGCTTGCCACAGCCACATTTGCCACACAAGGCCATCAAGGCTGCTGCAGTCACGCGCGCGCTACGTACGTCAAGTGCACATTCGAGTATTCCCTGCGTATTGATGAATGTATTTGTGTGCAAATATATTGTGTTTTTTTAATAATAATTTGTTTTCTCTTTTTTTTTTGTATATAAGTTTTTTGGTTTATAAGTGCGGCTGGCGCTCGCCCCCACGACGTACTTAAGCGCGACAATTTAAATGCATCTGCTGTGTTGATGACATCCACGTCCGCTTGCAGCTCGAATCGGCGTGACGATACGTTGAGATTGTGATTGAGCATTGCGTATTTAAACGCTGATTGCACCTCATCAGTGCCTTGCTCAAATATGGCGCCTGCAATGACAGAGAGCAAAAGAGCAAGAGTATGTGAATTAATTGATTTTTATTTTATTTAAACGTGATTTAAAAAATAAGTCATAAATTCAAAAATGCTACTGGAAAAAAATATTACAATAATATGAATGCCTCTGAAATTCTTCGAATGTCATCGTTCAATTTCAAGGAAAGATTGCGGCAGGCAGTAAAGGGAAAAGCCGCCAGAATTTTTAAGTCTACACCTCCTACTAGCAGCTTTAGGTGCTCTTCTATAAGACAAGCGCCCATTCTATGGCTCGGCTCTGACTATGAAGAAGAGTAAAGAAGTAAAACATTCTCCTAAAGAGTAAACGCTTGAGACTTGTGTTATGGTTGGGTCCTTCAGAATCCCTGGCTGCGGGTGGATTTTTACTAGATTTTTTAATTGTCAGATTTTTTTCGGAAAGTTTTCAGATTTACTCCGGACTTGTCGAGATTCTTCGTGTTTTACTTTTTCGACTCTATGAAAAATTTTTATGGGACTGTAAGAGATGTTTTCAATTTAGCTTTCCAGTGTTTTGTTAAACTTTTTCAGGACTGGCTATTAGATCAAGATTTTTTGGTATTCTTGAGATATATAAATTTTTTGGAATTTATCGAGGTATTTTCAAGTTTTTCGAGTTTATGGCAGCTTTTACCATTTTTCGAGACTTTCTGTTTTTTTTTCAGAACTATTCGTGTCTTATTTTTTGGTGTTTTTTATAGGATTTTAGGACTTGTCGACAAATTTTGGAATTTTTACGGAATCATTTGTCATTTTTCGGAATATGCGGAACTTTTCGGAATTTTTTATTTTTGATATTTTTTTACTTTTGGGGAAGTTTTTACTTTTGGAAATTTCTCGGCATTTTGTGAATTTTTCTGGGACTATTTTTAGAAGCATTCGTAACGTTCCCGAATTTTATCGGTTTTATTTGTCATAAACTTGTCATTATTATCGGGAACTTCTCGAAATTTTTTAATTTGGGTGTTTATTGGACTTCCAAAGAACTTGCGAGCTTTAGGAGTTTTCTCGAGACTTTCCGGATTCTTTCGGGACCTTTCAAGATAATTAGTTTTTATTTTAATTATGGGGTGTTTAGGGAATTGTTGGAATGTTTTCTGATTATTCATTACCAAACTTTCGGGATTTTCGAAAACTTGTGGAGCTTGTGGAGTTTTTCGAGATACTCTGGATAATTTTTTCTGATTATTCATTATTGAAGATTCGGATTTGCGAAAACTTTTCAGAATTTTTGTTTAAGTGCTTTTGAACTTTTAGAGCAGCTGGTAGCTTTTGAAGCTTTTTCCGGACTTACTAGATCATTTCGAGACTAATAGGGAGTATTTGAGGATTTTTTCGGGTTTATTCGTCACTCTTAATCTTAGATAGTTTTTGTGGATTTTTAAAGAATTTGGACGCTTTGGGATTTTTAGAGGACTTTGCGATTTTTCGAGACTTTTTGGCATTATTCTTATCCTATTTCTAGGTGTTTTGGGATTTTTCAGGAACTTTTGTAATTTTTCCCAGATTATTCACCTTAAACTGTTTGGAGTTTTTTATGTTTGGTATTTTTGTGGACTTTATGTTTTGATTACACAGCCACACAAAAAAAAATTTGTGTTCTGACCCCACAGTGCAAATGCATTTTCTCGTCTCCAAAATGTTGTTCTATAGCAAGTATTCTCAGCAATAAATATTCAATGTCCAAACGAGAGATCATGCAAATAATTTATCAGACATTTTATTTAAATTTAACATATTTTTAGCCAATAAAAAGTAGAAACACAAATATTTACTATAAACATGTATGTATGCATGCACGTATTTACAGCTAATTATTTTGTGTATTAAAAATGTTCGGTTATCCACTGACTGGTATCAGTAGATTTTATCAATCAGCATTATTTTACGTTCAGTGTCAGATATAAAATATAACCAGCCCTTATTTACTGAACGAAAGCAATGATAAACACACTTTGCCTGTAAAAAAAAAATTTATTCGAATACTTATACCACACAACAATAACTTATGTACATGTATAAAAATATGTAAGTAGCAGCATTTTTTATGAATTCAATTATTTCAGCTTTATGCGTTATGGGTCGTTGACAATGTTGCCAGCTTTTTTTTATGTTCAGATTTGGGTATTCAGATGAAAATATGAGTTGTAAGCTTATGCATAAAATTGAATAGGTGTACTAAATTTTAAGCAATGTTTTAGTGTCAATGATATGAAATAGCACACTTAAGATGACAAGGGCGACAATTTCTTACTTAACTACCTTTATATGGCGTCATGTACAACTGTTTTTCATGCATATATGTATGTATGTATATGTCAACATACATACATATTATATGGGAATTTTCGATAGATTTATCACAAATACTTTAGCGCGAAAAATTATTATTTTTTTTTTAATATTAATATTACACAGCAGATAAATATTCAAAAATAATGAAACTAATATAAGTCAGCTCTTTTAATATTTTTTTTTTTATTTTCCCCTTAGAAAACTTAATTTTGCCGTCATCGAATATGTCTGTATCTACATATGTATTTAGGTGCAGTTGCAAATTGAAACTCTGATTTGGAATATTTTCCAAATAATTTTGCACAGCTAAATAAATTAAATCACCTTCCGAGAAATGCAATATTTTTTATTTTTTATTAATCACCTACGTGCAAAAGTGTTGCTTTTGCCAGAGTTCTTATTTGCTATGTTTGTAACAAATTAATATTTGAAAAATATTTATTCCATAGCAACGAATTCATCATAATTTAATAATTCATGTTAACATGTAGGCGACTATATTGAAAATATTGCAATTGAAATTGTAGACCATTCTTTTCAGCAGTGGAAAGAGAATGTCTTTTTATATTTGTAAGAAAATATGTAGTGAGTAGAGGTAAAAAAAAATTTTAAATATAAGTAAATTTACTTTTCTATGTATGTCTATCAGTAATCCGGAATATTTTTATTAGACTGTCATTAAAACTTCTCTGAAATATATAAATAAAATATTTTATAAAATTAATAATACGAATACCAGTTTATAATGGCTATTTACAGTGGATGTATTAAACTCAAACAGTTGGGACATTTGGCATGTAGATAAATATATAAGACCGTACCACCTTACAAGCAAAGCCTAAAGTAAGCAAAGCAAGGTAATTTAGATATTTTTTTTTGTTTTTTTTTTTTTACTAACTTTTGAAGGAGTAAATTTATGACTTTTTTGCGGCTTTCAATTTGACTTAAAAACGATTATGAAATTTCAAAGCTGAAACAATTTTTTTACTTTGTAATGAATATAGAAAAAAGGGTTTTTATTAGAAGTGGTCGCCCCTCGGCAGGCAATGGCAAACCTCCGAGTGTATTTCTGCCATGAAAAACAGCTTCTCATTAAAATACACCCAGCGTTCGGAGTTGGCGTACAACTGTAGGTCGCTCCGCTTTGTATAAAAACATTAAGGCGCACGCGGAGGAGAAGCTCGGCCAAACACTAACATATGTGAAATGCCTAGTCTCCTTATCGCAGATTTTTTACTGGGTATTTAAATTTAAAAGGGAATATTTCTACTGCATTCTGTTAGTTTTCGAGTATGCTTTGTTATACAGACAATTGTGCATATAAACTATTTATGAAAACATGAACGCTGCAGTCGCATTGAATTGTTTTTGTTTTTTTTTTTCAACATAGTAGGTGCCAGAGTATTTGCCATTTAGTTTTCTATGTTCATTTATTATTTTAACTGCAACGCGAAATTCCGCTGCGGCCCATTTCAGTGCATTTAATTGTCGGTTAGGGATTTACCTCAGTGTCATTGAAACATCACCGCCTACACAAACAGCTCGTTGTTGTAATAATAGAGTAGATACATACATATGTACATACATACATACATATGTAGCTAGTGGATCATAATTATTTATTTAAATTAATTTAGGCAAATAAAATATTTGAAATTTGTTTTCCGTTTGCAAATGACACATGCGGGAGTAAGCCTTTATACGAGCAGCAGTAATTATCAGTGCACTTGTGTTAAAATACACCATATACATACATACATACATACATACATGTGGATGTGGAACGGGCGAACTAATTGAGGGCAAGCTTTTAAATAATTTATGTATGTATGTATGTATGTTGACATGAATGCATGTAATTAAAGTGGTTTGTTTTAGTTTAGAGCAATTACAGTGCTTTTATGAATTCAGATGGGCAATAAATACCATGACTTTTTAAACTTTCATGTCCACCTTGTAGCACATCAGTAAATATGTATCTATATATCTTTTTTTTTACTAAGCTTTAGCAATATTTGCAAACCAGCAGTTCGAAATTATTTAGTATGACCATCAAAACATGGGGATC